TCCGTGAGTTGGCTTTGGGGGAGGTCCTTATATCCTTTCAAGGTTCCATCTCTGGGCCCAGTGGCCCATGGAGAGATACAGGGGACCCTGTATCTTGGCATCTTGCTTTCCCTTGATCTTGGAGGTTCTCAGTGCAGGGAGCACCTTGGGCTGGAAGCATGTGCCTGCTCCTATCTTTTCTTCCTTGGCAGTAGTCAGGTCCCTTCTCTAATGGCTGCTGTCTCACACTTTTTCCTCTGGTGAGAGATGCTTCTATGGATCAGAACAACAGGGGAAAAACAAACAAACCCAACTGCCATGAACTTGACTTTGACCCCTAGAGGCCTACAGGACCCACTAGAATTGTGCCTTAGGGTTCCCAAGACCGTAAATCTTTACAGGCGCAGATAACCTCCTCTTTCTCCCTTCAGCATCTGGTGGGTTTGAAGCATTGACCTTGCAGTTAGCAGCCCAGCACTGACTCCACCAGGGCTTCTTATGGGTGTTACCTCTCTCCCTAACCCCTTTTACCAAGTTGGTTGGTTACATAATGGGGGGCGGGTGATTACATCCTTGGAGAAATGCCAATCGATAACAAATGCCTACCCAGTTGTCTCAGCAGGTTTATCTGATTCCCAGTGAATTGCGGTGCTGCCTTCTTCATCTACTCTATTAGCACATAGATTATAGAGGACACACTGTCCTTACAGGTCAGGATTAATTGGTAGATAACTTCATTCATTCATTCATTTGACAAACATTTATTAAGCACTTGATAAATTACATGCTATGTGCCACGTTTAGGGACATAAAGATGAATAAGAAGGAATCTGTTAAAATAACAATGAGCATAATCTTGATGGAGTGTTTCAAGAACAGCGGAGAGCCTCAGACGTTCAGGAGCTCCTTCGCAGGCGAGGGCGTAGCTGAATGGAGTCTTGAAGAGTCGGCATAAACTTGCCCACCTCAGGGGGCGGGGAGTGAGTGTGTGCAGAGGCACCTATCCATGAGTGTCTGATGTGCAAGGGAGTCTGAGTAACTCTTCATGGCCATAGTTTGCAACCAAGTGTTGGAAGACACAATCGGGGATGAAACCAAAAAGAGTTGATAGAAATAATTTCTTTAAAAAAAATCATTTTATCGGGGGCTCTTACAGCTCTTATAACAATCAATACATCAGTTGTATCAATCACATGTGTGCATCATATGTTGCTATCATCATTTTCAAAGCATTTTCTTTCTACTTGAGCCCTTGGTATCAGCTCCTTTCCCACCCACCCCCTCCCACTCTTGTGAACCCTTGATAAATTATAAATTTCATATCTTACACCATCTGCCTCCCTTCACCCACGTTTCTGTTGTTCATCCCCCTTAGGCGGGGTGGGGTTATAAGTTGATTATGGCGATCAGTTCCCCTCTCCTCCCCGATCTTCCCCCTGTCCTCCTGGTATCACTTCTCCCATTACTGTTCACCTGTCCTGGATTCCATGTGTCCAGAGCTCTCATCTGTACCCGTGTACATGCTTTGATCTAGCCGGGTTTGTAAGGTAGAACTAGGTTTTATGATAGTCGGGTGGGCGGAAACGGCATTAAAGAACTAGAGGAATGTTGTATGTTTCATCAGTGCTATACTGCACCCTGGCTGGCTCGTTCCTTCCTTGTCACC